GCACAGGCTGGGCACTGATCTAGGGGCCGGCTCTGGAGTCGGATTGCCTGGCTGTCTCTCCTGGCCCCACCCTGGGTACTCACAACCCCAGCTTCCTCCTCTATCGAAGGAGTACCTCACCAGCTACCGCTCAGGACTGTAGGAGGATCCCAAAAAGTACTTTGGAAACTCCATGGCCTCATCACCGCGAAGTTCCCATACTCTCAAACTTTCAACTTACACCTTTTCATTTTCACAAACTTTCAACTTATAAATTCTCATGAATGCCGACTCAAGGTCCAGACCGAAGGCACTTTATCATCTCCCCAATACTTCCAACTGGTATTCTCTATCCCTATCTGTCATTTTTGTCTCAACCGTCTTGGTGTTTATTTTGTCTCAAGCAGTGGTTCTGAAAGGAGGTCCCTGGACCAGTCGCAGCATCTGAGAACTTGCTAGAAATGCAGATTCTCAGACTCGCCTCCATACCTACTGAATCGGAAACTCTGGGGGTTGGCACAGCAATCTGTGTGTGGGGTTTTGGTGTTGTTGTTTATGTGTTTGTTTGTTTTCGGTTTTAGCAATCTATGTTGTAACACGCCCTCCAAGGGATTCTAATACTGGCTTCATATTTGAGAGACCGAGGTTCTTGAAAGTCACAGGCATTTCCCATGGCCGTGCTCAGTTCTGAATTGCTTTCAAAACATGGTTACTCCGACATGTCCAATAAAGGGGGGGAAAAATGATAATCATGTTGAAACAGTGAGTAGAAAGAGATACACCAACATTATAGAGGTGAAAGCTGAGATGATTTTAAAAGATCAATGAAGAGAAAAGTAGCAAATGTTGCATGTTTGTGTGAAGATGACTCATTTGATGATAGGAACAATTCCGAAAACACTGAATCAGGCAGTATCTGAGATGCAGTGCCTGGGCGACAGACACGTCATCAGGACGCAAGGAAAATTATCTCGAAATTCAAAGAGATGTGAACATGGGGCCACAAGGTTCAGCATCAACAGTGGAAACTCATTGGCTTCATGGAAACTCGGAGAATGCTGGGCATCTCTGTGCCGTGCTGGGGCTCAGAGTGATACGCTGGCTCCTAGTTAGGAGTGTTTCCACATGTCCAGGGCTCATCTGATATGTAATGTGTGATGCTTTGGCCTGTTTAGATGAGACCACTAACCAGTTCTCCTGGGCCAGACCATGGGAATTTTAAGCTAAGCCAACAGCTTTTCCACACAGACGAAACCAGTCTGTTTTAGAAAGAGAGAGAGAGAGAGAGAGAGAGAGAGAGAGAGAGAGAGAGAGAGAGAGAGAGAGAGAGAGAGGAGAGATAGCTGGTAGAAAGTGCATCAGCAAGGAGGAGAAATTGTCAGATATTAAACCTTTGAAGGGCCAAATCACATCACCACTTAAAATCCAAGGAGTAAGTCTGGGTGTGTCACAAATGGATCTATGAACCATTGCTTACAACCAAACGCTTCCACGGGAAGCACTGGACACCCACACCCACGGCCATTAAAAATCAGCATTTGAAACGCATAACCTACACCCTATCCCCTGGGATCCCCACTCATTTGACTGGGGTGGGGCCCATTTTTAACAAGCTCCCTAAGGGATACCGAGGCAGATGGTCCCGAACCACAGAGCTGTTTGTCATTAGGGAAGAAGAATCGGAATCAGCGGTACCGAGTTGCTGCATACGCTTCACAAACACCGCTGGGGGGAAATGCAGTCCTGAAACCAAAACACCGCCCGCCCGAGCCCTGATTTAGCACTTGTTCCCACAGCACAGATCAGGGAAATCAGCAGTAAATGAGTAACGTGTTACATAAGTTGCTTTTCTGTATGCAGAAATGTAATCCACCAAAGAGAAGTTAAAATCATATAAAAAGCAACAGCTCACCCCCAAAACAAATGCTGGGGAAGCACAGCCAGGATCTCCCCAGGATTTTACCTCCTGCCAGGCAAAAAAAAACCACAACAACAATCCCGCCTCAGTGCTGAAGCCCCGCCCACTCCCGCTTGTGCCACTGGGAGCTGAGTCCTTTGGAGGAGGTGGTCAGGGAAGGGGTGGGGGTTAAGAGGAGTGGTGAAGAGGAGGACACTCAGGGTTCCACATGGGCATGGACACTGGCTTCACCAAGGCTTCCCTCTGGTTGAAAACATAAGTGGAGCCATGTTTTCCTTGACTACACCTCTGACCCCTTGCTGGAAAGTTCCGGAACCACAAAATGCCCTGTTGTGGTCTTGTCCAAGAACCCAAACCTCCCTCTCTCCTCTCTCTCCTCTGTCTCTCTCTGTCTCTCTCTCTCTCTCTCTCTCTCTCTCTCTCTCTCTGTCTCTCTCTCTCTCTCTCTCTCTCTCTCTCTCGCAAGGATTCCCAGTCTTTTCCTCTCTGCAGTTACCCCAAGACCTGAATAATAAGCTAGTTCTAACTAGAGTGAATAAGCTAGTTCTAACTAGAGTGTTAAAGGCTGACAGTGGTTGGGGCTTTGATCACTGACCCACAGAAAAGGTCAATGCAGGTATGCCAAAGGCATACCATGTATATTACATACGTGTTTCTCCTTCCAATGAGCTGGCCTCATTCTCTCAACGCTGACCTAGAGACCTCCACTCTGAACTTATTGGAGCATAGATTATAAGTTTCAGAATGATAAGTTCTTACCTATCTATTTATTACTCTACTCCAAGCAGCTAGCATGGTGACTAACCGTTAGGAAATACTCAAAAAAATATAAGTATTGAATTAATTTAAATTGACACCTGATGTGAAACTTAATTGCCACCCCATATTGCCACCATGCATGTCTCCAAATGTATTAGGGTCACCTGGGTTGCTTGTTAAAAACCTATCATCTGGGCTCCACCCCAGACATAGTAAATCAGACTATGGGACCTGCATTTTTAACAAGGCACCAGGTAATCATATACACGTACAATCTGAGAACCACTGCCTTCACCTTACATGGGAATGTCAAGGACACCAATACTATGGGATGTGATTAAGCAAAAGGGCCCTTTGGGAACACCCCACGCAGAACACAACAGAGGTGGGCAGCTTCCTCCTCTCCATCCAGGCACGGGCCCAAGTGGAGTACAGGACATTCAACACGGGAAAAAAATGAGGCTACCAGGAGACCAGAGATGAGAACGGTCTGGAGCAGCACTCTGGAGCTAACCAAACTGGAAGATAACAAGGCCACCACTGATCCCAGCGGGCTCTGTCTTGACTGCTTTCCCTGATAGGGGTAGCATGCCCCATCAGCAGATCATGAACCACAAGGCATCGGCAAGGCCCAAGGATGGACAGCAAAAGGCTGGCAGCTATGCCCCACTTTGGAAAGGTGCACAGAATGAGGGATGTATCCTCATCTACACTTCTCCCCAAGTCTGGCTTCTCTCCTTCATGAGGCAGTCTGGCAGCTAAAGTCAGCAAACCATCCTCCCATATGCTTCTCCTCTCACTCTTGAGGCAGCCACATGTTAAGCAAGGCAGGGGGCTGCTACCAGCCAGGAGTCACGCCCAGGTTCCCTCCCCCTGCACTCCTGAGGGGAGCCCAAGGAGTTCCCCTCGCCAGCCACCCTCCTCTACCGCTCGCTTGCAGCTGTCACGGGAACATCAAACACGGATGTTTGTGCCAAGCCTCATTTATACAAGCCCACTCCTCCTGGAGAGACGAATTTTTAAAACAAACAGTGTTTACATATGTTAGCAGGCAGAGTCGTGTCAGCACCAGGGATCCCCAGACAGAATCTGGGGCAGAGACTGCTAAATAAATCCTGTTTGGGTAAAATTCCTCTCTGGAGAAAGAGGAACCTCAAAGCGGATTGCTCAGATTCTCCAGCAAGCGTCCCTAAAGACATGACGCTCCCCCAGCGGGGCATGCTCTGAGCACTCAGAACTAGGAAAGCACCATCGCTCTAATGTGCAGTTGCCGACATCACCGCGTCCCTCTTAGATGTCTTCTAGCCCGTCCCACCGGGGTCCCGGCACCCCTGCTCCCACACACACTCTGGTTCCAGCCGGGACATAGGATGACCCTACGCTGATGGGCACAGGTTTTCCACACTCATGCAGGATTTCCTGACACCCCAAGGCTTGGGGTTCTAGCAGCTAAAGAGGAAAATGCCACCACGTAGACACACAGGTGTTAGAGAAATGAGGGAGTGCACATGATGGGTACAGATGTTTCACCTGGAAGACCCAACTCGGCCACAAAGGACTCAGGGAGCAATCTGACTGTTGGAGAAATATCAGGTTTGGGAGCTTGAATTACCTCCCTGGGTCACTGCCTCTCTGTCCTTAACTTTGCCTTTGGGACTTGGTAAGGGGAGGAATGCTATCATCTTTGCTGTGTTACTTCTAGGATGGAGTAAGAAGGTAGATGCAAACAAAAAGAATTAGCACAGGCTGGGGACAGGACAGCATTCAGGATCTAATGTAGAAATGGGGCCAGATCGCGTGTGTTAGCCATAGATGCGGGGCAAGAGGCTCCAGCTTACAGACGGGTTTGGAGAACTCCAAGTCCAAAGTGGGTCTGAGGAGGACCAGACGCACCTCTCTGGGCTACACTGCCAAAAGCCTAAAGAGATTGAAAGCAAGGGCTCTGCAAGGTGCACGCTGCCCCAGAAAGGCACTGGCCCTCTGGGGACGTGAGTCTTGGGTCGTGGTGGGTGAGGACTTTGAGCTGCCCTAACAGGAGAAGCTCTAGAGTGGTTGCCATGGCCTTGGGTGTCTTCAAGTGCACTGGAGAAGTTTCGACCCATTTCAGGACTTGGCTGGAACATCATTGGCTGGGCTTCCCCGGTGCCCCACATGCATAGGTGTCTGTAACCTGTGTGGGCACATGACCAAGCCCACAGGTCCCTAAGTGAGAGGGGCGAAGGGAGAATTACTGCCTAGCTAAGCATCGGGGACGGGGTGGGGATTTTATGTATCGCCCTAGGCTGTACGCAGCCCCCATCCACCATGGCCAGGGCCAAACGCAGGAGAAAGAGAAGCCACATACCTAGCCCGTTCTCTGCCACTGCCGCGTGGTTGACATCACACTCGCCCGCGTCTTGCTCTCCGACGTCATTCAAATCTAAGCCAGGCTGGTGGGACCCATTTCCAAAGTGCCTCTCATCCTTCTCGGAACCGGTGTCCCCATTTTCCAGCCCATTTTGAGCCTTTTTCAGGGGCATTATTTGCAAACCACTGGGCGTAGTCCTGTAAGACACTGTCTTGGCAGCCCTGTCACCTCCTGCAGGGGGCTTGGCTGGATACCCTTTCTTCGGCTTGGACAGGGAGGGGTTGATTCGCTTCCGTTTATGGGAAGTCCCTTTGCTCTTTCCAGATTCTGAAGGTCTGTGGGAGAGTTTCTCCACCGATGTGCCTCGGCCGTCAGGCCGGAGCTTGGAGGCGCTGGCCTGCTTCCCTGACTTGACCCTCTTGTCCTTGGACACGTGCAGCCCGTTGAATTCATCGATAAACTCCTCACAGTGCAGCAGATGGTGCTCTGGCTCCCACGTGTCTTCTGTGCTCCCATAGCCTTTCCATCGGATAAGGTATTCCCATTTTCCTTTCTTGTTCTTCCTCTTGTCTACAATCCTTTCGACCTGGGACACAAGATGAGAGTCAGAAAAGAGAGAAAGGAAATAAAAAAAAATCAGTCCCAGACCACAAGAACAGCACAAAGCCCTCAGGAGAGAGAGGCTTCTGCCCTGGCCATGGGGGCGCTGTTCAATGCCGGAAGCTGACACTTCCAGGAACGTTCAAGATGGCTGGTTTATGTCAGGATATCACTGAATGGAACCAAAGGTGCTCGGTCATTTTCCAGGAGGACTTAGTGACGCCATGCCAGGCTCGTGGCATGTGCCTGTCCAACCAAGGCTTACTCTTACTTGAAATCACATTGCAAGTTTTCACTAAAGATCTTTATTCTTTTCACTGCACCAAAGTAGAATCAGACTTTTAAAGGTCAATTTGGTGTTGATTTCTCATCCCTACTTATAATAACATTTATTGAGTATTTACATGGTAGGCACTGTGCTGATGTATCCTTACTTATAACAACACTAATGATTAGTAACATTGCTTGGGCACATATGGGGGAGCATTATATTAAATGCTGGGCAAGGATGCCCCCATATCATTTTCTCCTGACCATAACCCAGTGTGGTAGGTATTCTTTCTAGCCCCATTTTACAGTGGGGAAACTTGGGGTCAAGAGAGACTAAGTCACTCAGCCAAGTTTCAAGCTGGTAAGAGCAGAGCTGGGATTTGAACCACTCTCACCCCAGATTTATTTTCTTAATCGATAGGCTATACTAACTCTCCACTACAAAATCTTCCATATAGACCAAAAATGGCCTGAATCGACAAAGCACCCCCAAGCTGCAACACAGGGGATACACCTGCGAGTCAAGGTGATCGATAACATTTATTGAGAGTCTATGATGTGCCTTGCACAACCCCATGGGGTGTACACCATTATTACTCCCATTTGATAGACAAAGGGACTGAGGATGAGGCTACTTGCCTACAATGCAAGCTAAGAGGTGGTGAGGGTGAGATCTGAACCTGTCTCTGTGTGGTTCTAAAGCCAGGTGCTACTGTCTTCATACCTTCAAATGGAAGAAAATCTCCCCTGTCTTCAAGTAATCCTATGGGGAAATACACCCAGGAAAATGCCAGTCCTAATGCTAATAATGGTATATGTAGGTGAAAGGTGTGTGAGGGCTCATTTATTCTTCTTCAACTTTGCTATAGATTTGAATATTTTTATTTAAAAAAATGATAGGCAATTCCAATGCTCTACCAAAAACAGGAAAATTTCAATGAAAAAAGTAAATAACTATATTCAAACGTTTATTACATTTCAATGTCAACATAACATGCTCTTCCAGAAAGGAATTTTGACCTAATGAAATTAAGTTATAACTGAGGAATGTGCCCTCAAAATATATGAAAGGAAAAAATAATATGAGAAGGGAGAAGGGGGTACAGTTATAGCTGATAATTGTTGAGAATGGATAATGGGTATATGGAAGTTCATTATATGACTGTTTATGTTTACATGTTTGAATTTTTATATGTTTAAAATTTTCCATAATAAAAAGTAAGAAAATTTTGAAAACTGAAATTGTCTCCCATGACAGAGGCTATACGAAATAATTAAATGACTTTCATTGCTTTGCACTTAATAAATATGAAAATAGCCAAGCCATACTGCCTCTTTATAATACTGCTTCTTCATAGATAATTTGTTTCCTTAACTGATTTATCTCAAATCAAATTGGCCTATTTCTATTAAAATTTCTTTCCTTATAAAATGTTCTGTGAACATCTGTTTTAGATTCATTACATAATTTTTAGATGTATCATACAAACTCTGTCACAGTGTAAAAAGGTACAGTCACACCAAACTAATCCAACTTCCAATCTCTGGGTCAAGGCATGGGGCTAGTTGAGTATTCATTTTGTGATAATGCTTCAGAAAGTCAAGAGTATTTCTGGAAGAGCGTGCAGCTCTGCACATTTGAAGGCTTCTGAAGGAGGAAACTCTCCACAGGTTTACAGAGGAAGGAAAGTGAACAAGCAACCTGGTCCTGCCTGAAACAGCAGCATTCCAAGAACACTGACGACCTACGAGAGTCAGGAGCAAGCCCAGATATTTTGGGGGGAGCTAAGGAATTCGTGTTTGCATGGAGGTCTCCAGCTTCAGAAAGCATATACTTGGCTCCCAGGATGGAGAAACTTTTTCCCCAGGATGAAGCAGAAAACCAGGCAACACAATGGATAGGTGCGTGGGTGGGTAGGTGGGTGGATGAAAAATGGATGGTTGAAAATAGATGGAAGAACAGATGAGTGGATAATGGGATGGATGGGTGGATGGGTGGATGGGTGGATGGATGGATGGATGGATGGATGAATGGATGGATGGATGGATGGATGGATAGATAGATGCATGGGAGGATGGAGAAATGGATAGTTGGTGGATAGATGAACATATGGGAGGATAGTGGAATCAGTGGATGAATAGAAGGATGGATAAAGGAACTGGTAACTAAATGGGTAGGTGATGGGTGAAAGGATGAGTAGAGTGGTAAGTTCTGGAATGGAAGGATGGATGGATGGATGGATGGATGGATAGATGGCACTCACTCCTCAAAATGAGCTTAGTATAGTATTTAAGAACACAGGCTATGGAGCAAGACTATCTGGTTTAAATCTCCTGCTAAGCCTTTTACCATGTGTTTTTGAGCAAGTTGCTAAACCTCTTTGGGCCTCAGATGACTCATCTAGCAAGGGGGAAATAACAGCATGTACTGCATAGGGTGGCTGTGGAGAATACACAAATAAGCAGTTTTGCATTCCATAGTAAAGGTCACTTAATCTTGCAAATCCTCCTGTGCATACAAGCCTTGGTGGTATTTAAAGACAGAATGTTTCCCCACCTTGCAGAATACCACCCTGTTAGAATAATCAGTCCCTCTCTGGGAAGAAGGAAGTCCACCTACTTCAAGAAGTCCTTCAAAGTGTGGGCTATGGCTATGCGGAGTAAGGCTGCTTGAGAAGCCTGGGGAGTCAGCAAGGCTGCAGTGTCTACACCCCTGTTTGGAGACACCCAGTGTGGGTGGACTTGGTTTTTTCCTCCTAGTTACTGGAATACTGAATCACAGGGTCACAAGTGGCTTTATGGGAGGACAGAAAGGCTACTGCTTCTACCTCTGGTCCCATCCACAAATCCCCTGGGTGGCTTGACAGCTATTTCTACTTAAATGAACCTAATACTAACAATGAACAGTATTAACAGGATTATCCCTAATAGCCTGATGTGCAGGGGAAAAACTGCTGGCTCTGCCACTTTGTATCCACATGACCTGGGCAAATCTCCCAACCTCTCTCTCAGTGTCCCCATCTGTAAATTGAAATAGTAATAGTAGTAGTAGTAGTAGTAGTAGTAGTAAAATAATAATAATAATAATAATAATAATAATAATAATAATAATAATTGCAGCAGCAGCAGCAGCAGCTACCTGCAAGGCTGCTGCAAGAACTGAAAGAAATAAGATACGGGAAAAAGAAACTGTCTTGAACATCACAAAGCACAATAAGGAGATGAGTGGAATTGCTCTAATACGTATAAAATTTCGGTCGACAAAAGTGCTTTTATATACATTATTTCCTCCATAGTTTAAACATTTAAAAGAGAAACCAGGTTTTCTCTGGCTTAGATAAACAGTTTTTTCTGAAAAACCAAAATAAAATGCCCACAAGGAGCTCAGAGGAAAGCTGACTCCCAAATGCCCATCGTACTTTGAATGTGCCATCTCCTGGGGCTTAATCTCGTCCTTCACATCCCTGTGTGGGGTTTCTGACCCTCATCTTCTCAGAAGCATCTCAAACAGAATTCTAACTTGCTCTGTGGATAACAAAAGCCCACATTATCTAGGGCTCTCTCTTGTGTAGGATTGCAACATTCTCTGTCTGTGAAATCCTTTCTTCCCCTTAAGCTCCCCAAACCTCCTCCACTGTCCCCTAACTCCTCACACACGGCTGAAAGCAGAGACCTGGGCCTCCAGGTGCTGGCGGCTCTGCTCCCTCCCTGCACAGGCCCCTACACTACCTGAAGCTCAGTCCCTCTGAATGGAGACAATCATCAATTCCCTTCCCTGGTCCGTGCACTTACTCACCACCACACAGATGATACTTAAAAATCATGTGATCACATACACCCCACCAGCTTCTTTTTTTCAAAGATAAGCAATCTGAGACCCTGAACTATTCCTTAGAATTCAACCAAATTGTTAATGAACATTTACTCTCTGTGATCCCAGCTAATATGAGATGCCATTCTACTGCAGGTGGGGACAGGAAAATTCTGATGCAATTATTAGCAGTGCCACGATGACACGTGAATGGCTGTCTCATTAGGGATAATAATGATGACAATCACCATTATTGGTACCTGCTAAGTTCCAGAAACTGTACTAAGCATTTATAAGGTGCTCAATTTCACCTTCATACCCAGGCTTTTATTATATCTGGGTGTTATTATTCTAACACCGTTTGACAGGGGAGGAAATTGAGGCTCAGAGAAAGTAGGTAACTTTCCCTGGCTCACACAGTCAGTAGGTGGTTAGCCAAGATTGGAAACCATTTCATCCGGCTTCTTGGCCCACGTTCTCAGCCACCCAGTCACATCACACCAGTGGGAAACCATCAGGCCAGTGGCGGACACAGTCCTTAAATGAGGGAGCAACATGCGGTAACCAATAAGGGAAAGTGCTCCGATGGTGAAGAGAAAGGTGCTGTGCAGAAGGATGGCCTTGGGGACAGGGCTCCTTCCGATCAGATGGGCAGGAAGTTTCCTCTGAGAAAGAGCAGTTTATGCTGAGACCAAACTGGGCCTTCAGAAATGGACAAAATGTGGACCAGTGACAGGCCTTACCAAGCGGAGCGAGCGAGCTCCCCACCTTCCTCCACAGCTTTTTAGTGGCAGCCTAACCAAGTAACACCACCGCCACCCGACACTTATTCAGCAATGATTCAGCGTCACCATAGTTACGTGCGATCCCTACATATGAACTATATATTACATATACTAACTCAC